GGTTCTCCTCATGTCAAGTTTACAAGACTGGAATGTGAAACTGACTGTAAAGTGGAACTGGGTATTCCATAGCAGAAAACTAAACCTAAATTGTAAAAGAAGAGTCAACTCTTCAGCTTTAAATTAACCTCTGTTTTTGTCACTTTTTAACTTGAAGTTTTAAAAGCCAGGTAGTGCCTAGCAAGGGCTGTAAGATAGTTATTTTGGATTTAAATTAAGGTTTTCTGTTAGCTGTTTTGAATAGCAGAGGGGCTTAATTTCTGAATGATGTATTTGCTTGGTCAGGTACCCCACGGTTTGCGTGAGAACTTCCATTTCTTATATAGGCTAGCTTTTGACTTTATAGGTTAGCCTGTGCTTGTGTTAAATTTTTTCTTTGTATGAAATTTTTGAAAACCCCATAGCACAATAAAAGGTTGAGTTTGGTAGCAATGCTAGTAAACTTGCACTAAAAGCTGACAGTATTGGAGTAATAAGCACTTATTTCTTTAACTTTATATTTTCCAATGAATAAATAGATTCTGTACAGTTGGGATTTTTGACTGGAAATCCTTAAAATGGTATATGCTTAATTGCAAAGCTAAAATTAAGTGCTGATAATATTTATCTTTCTGTTGACATGCCTCTTTAAGCAACGTAATGATGTTGGTGTGTAACTGATTGCTTATATAGAATACGTGTCCTTTTAATCGATGAGGACACATTTGAAAAGCACTTTATTATTTTTTTTACAGATTCCAAAGCAGGCACAATTTGCATAGTCCCCTACTATGTGGAACTGTACATATTTGTGCTCGTTTCGCCTGCTGGGTTTAGTTTAAAATGTCACCTTTGAAAACTATCCTTCGAAAGTTATCCTTCTACAAATAGTACTTTGAGACGTGGTTTTTGATGATACCTGTAAGCAAATGCTGCATAGTGCGACAAGCTAAAAGCACTGATGTGAAGATGCAACCGTGTCAATGTCTGCCAGAATGCAAGATGCTGTTGGAAATGACAATAAAGACCTGCCTTTCATGCCTTCCAGGTGCACTGAAATTTTCATAGGATGCCATGAAAGTAGCTAAACAATAGCATAAGAAGAAAAATGTATGTTTATATAAGTGGATGGCTATTTCTGAATGCTGAAAATGTCTTTCTTTCTAAAAAGGACTTCAGACTTTGCTTCAGTGTAATTTTTTTTTTTTTAATAAAGTAACTCCCAAGTGTTTGGCAGCTTTGCATAGTCATTTTCATGAGTTCCACTTTTTGACTAAGCTTGTGGCGTTCGCTGTTTTACATCTTACAAAGAAAGCTTTTGAGTGAGAAGATGTTACAAAATGTTTTGGATGAGGAGTGCAGGTGGTGAGGAAGTTGGGAAAATACAATGCCAGGCACGTTATGAGCAAATGATAGAAAGAGTATGTCTGCTCATTCTCTCAGTGCAGTTTAAAAACACTGTTACTCGGAATAAAAGGAGGAGAGAGAAGAGTAGAGGGGAGGAAGATAAAAAGGCGAGTGAGCTGCCACCAGGAGGAGATGCACAGTCTGAGGAACGAGGTGGGAAAGAAAGCCGCGGGCAGAGCGGAGGCGTCGTTTTGTTGGACTCCCGGCACAGAGGGGCCAGGGGGCGGAGGGGAGGGGGGGGGGGGCCGAGCAGGAGACAACCGAAGCGCTTGGGCGGGGGAAGGCGCGGGTGCGGGCGCTGGCAGGTGCGGGGAGCTGGGCGCTCGGGCGACAGGGGCATGGGGAAGTCCTGTGTCTTGCGCCCTGAAGTTAGGCTGCAGGTAACTTGGCACGGTGCTATTTTTTTTAGGGAATTTCATTGGTTACCCGCTCAGCAGTCGTTTGTACGCACAAGGAACAGTAACTCTGAGTCCCTGTTCGGGTAAAGCTGTTTCCAGCAGCCAGGTACTGCTCCTGACTCCCCTGCCGTCAGATGAGGCTGACTGAGGAAAGGGAATTTTTTCCATTGCGCTTTTGGTACAAAGTGCAGAAAGAGGAGAATACTCCGCTACTTTTGTTTGAAGAAAACAAGTTGCTTAATGTTTACCCCGATGCTGACTCAAGTAGAATACACTGCAGTTGCAGCGTTGTCGGCTGCCGCTGTTGCTGACTTGAAGTGCCGGTTGTCGTGGAGATAAAGGAATTAGATGAAAAATTATGGCGGTCTGCATCTGATAGAATTCAGCCGTTAGTATTTATAAAGAAAGGATTTGATTTTTTGTTTGTTTGTTTGTTTACTATATAGTTTGTGCTAGCCTGAAAAAGAAATCCCCTTCTAGTTTGGAAATACTCTCATTACGCAGTGCTTCTAACCTTGAGAAAATGAGCTGCTGCAACAGAAGTGTGAACATGTGGAAGGAAATGCAGTGGCCTGCCCTGCAAAGGGCAGACATGGGGGCAGCCTCCGCACCGAGCCTGCCGTTGCCAGCCGCCAGCCAGGGGCCAGCAGGGATGTCCGGCTGTGCGCGGCAGTATTGCCGCCGTGCTGACCTCGGTGTTGCTGCGTGACTCCTCTTAAGGAATCAAAAGTAGCGAAGCTGAAGGGTTCAAAGCGCCTCTCCCCGCGGCGGG